GCTGGAGACAGGAGGGTGGGCCGAGGGCGGGGGTCAGGGTGACCGAGAGGCTTTGGGGACCCTCCGGAGGCGGAGTCGCCGTTTCTTGCGCGGGGCGCGCCGAGCGTCGATTGGCCCCGAGGGCGGACTTGGGGCGCGGGGCTGAGGCCAGGCCCACCCTGGGGTTCCCGCACCGTGGGGCCGCTCCCGGCGGCAGAACGGAGGGTGGTCGGGCCCCGGCTCCAGTCCACAGGGTCTGCCCGCGTGGGCGTTGTGGTCAGCGCCCGCAGGGTGGCCCGGCCGGGACGCGCCACGAAACGGGCACTGGGACCTCCGGACAGAGGACGGGCGCGTGGGCCTGGGGGGAGTGGTCGCCGCCCCTCCCTCACCTGCCCGCCCCTCCCCCTCCTCACCTGCCCGCCCCTCCCCCTCCCTCACCTGCGCCCCCCTCCCCGCCCACTGCTGGCCCCTGGAGGAGCCGGTCGGACAGTCACAGCCTTTATTGAGGGCGCCACCCGGTGGCCGCGCGCAGGTCCGAGGCGACGTCACACCACCTCGTCGGTCACCGGGACGCGGGTTGGTCTGGGGGCCGCCCGCGGAGACCCGCCCGCCGTACTCGCGCCGCTCCTCCCCGCGCTCGGGCCTTCTTGCGGGCCTCGGCTGGGGGCCGGGGCGGGGGGTTGCTGGGGCGGTGCTGATGGTGAGCCCGACCTGCCATGCCGCCCTCCCTTGGGCTTGCGGGCTCGATGGGCGTCCACTGCTCCCCGCGCACGGCCGCCTGCGGGCACGGAGGGCCGGGGACCACTCAGGTCCGAATGGAGGGGGGGTTTGGCTGGGAAGGTTAGGCCACCTGGGAAGCTACCTGCCCATGCCAGGAGGGACCCAGCAAGGGGGAAGGGGCCCGGGAACCCCTGGGCTTCTGCAGATGCCCTGGTGGCCACTTCCAGGCACAAATCCCAAGATCCACCGGGACCCCCAGGCCTCCTCTCCAGGGACCAAGGGCAGGAAGGCCAGGGAGGGGCCTGGGAGAGCAGGGTCCTGTTCACTCATTCACTCTGGACCCACCCTGGCCTGCACCCTCCCCAGGGCACCCCGACATTTCACAGATGCATGGGGGGGACTGAAGCGTGCACAGCAGGGATGGAGGGGGTGTTCTAAAAATACAGATTCTGCCACGGTGGCTCACGCCTGTCATCCTAGCACTCTGGGAGGCGGAGGTGGGTGGATTGCTCCAGGTCAGGAGTTCTAAATCAGCCTGAGCAAGAGCCAGACCCTGTCTCTACTAAAAATAGAAAGAAATTAATTGGCCAACTAAAAATACATAGAAAAAATTAGCCGGGGTATGTGGTGGGCGCATGCCTGTAGCCAAGCTACTCGGGAGGCTGAGGCAGGAGGATTGCTTGAGCCCAGGAGTTTGAGGTTGCTGTGAGCTAGGCTGACGCCACGGCGCACTCACATCTAGCCTGGGCAACAAAGTGAGACTCTGTCTCACAAAATAAATAAAAAAAATAAAAATAAATGAAAATACAGACTCCTGGGCCCCATGCCCCAAGGTTCTTTGTTGCACAAGGTCAATAGGACCTGGGAATGCCTATTTTTAAACTTAGTGTCCCATAATATTTGATAGAGAAAATATGCAAAAAACCTGCAACATCACATCACATACTTATGATGAAGCATAACAATAAATCAGACACCCGGATCCCACCTCCCAACTTAAACACGGAAACACCCAGGGGCCTGGGAGGCTTCCACAAGCACATAAGCGAACAGACAAGCGGCCTTCCCTGAAGGACTTCGGGGACGAAGCTGGCAGACTCGGGACAGAAAGGAAGACATTTACTATGGCTAAAACTTACAAACAATAACTTAAAATGCATGGGATTTCTGCAAATTAAGAAAAAGACAAAAACCCCAGTAGGAAAATGGGCAAAGGCTGTGAACCAGCAACTTACAGGAGAGGAAAGATGGGGGGGGGGTGCTAAAGCGTGTGCATGTGAGGTAGGGGCGCAAAGTTGTGGTTAGAGAAAGGCAAGTCAGGCCGGGCACGGTGGCTCACGCCTGGAATCCTAGCACTCTGGGAGGCTGAGACGGGAGGATCGCTCAAGGAGTTCGAAACCAGCCTGAGCAAGAGCAAGACTCCATCTCTACTAAAAATAGAAAAAATTAATTGGCCAACTAAAAATACATAGAAAAAATTAGCCGGGCATGGTGGCGCATGCCTGTAGTCCCAGCTACTCGGGAGGAGGCTGAGGGGGGAGGATCGCTTGAGCCCAGGAGTTTGAGGTTGCTGTAAGCTAGGCTGACGCCACGGCACTCACTCTAGCCTGGGCAACAAAGTGAAACTCTGTCTCAAAAATAAATAAAAAAATAAAAAAAATGAAAATACAGACTCCTGGGCCCCATGCCCTGAGGTTCTGTTGCAACAGGTCAATAGACCTGGGAATGCCTATTTTTAACTTAGTGTCCCATAATATTTGACAGAGAAAATATGCAACATCACATCACATACTTATGATGAAGCATAACAATAAATCAGACACCCGGATCCCACCTCCCAACTTAAACACGGAAACACCCAGGGGCCTTAAGCCGGCAAATGAGTGGCACACTGTAGTCAGCTACTCCGAGGAGGCTGAGGGGGAGATCGCTTGGAGACCCGAATTGAGAGTTACAGTAGAATGGCTAGAGCCTTACCACGGCAACTCACACATCTACGCCTGGGCAACAAAGTGA